TAAAACACTGTGGTGCTGGCACAAAAATAGACACACTGATCAGTGGAATGGAACTGAGGAACCAGATTTAAGTCCATGCAATGTCAGGCACCTAATTTTTGACAATGAGACCATACAATTGCACATGGCTGTTTCTAGCTGCTTCACTCATAACTGCAGAAGTTAAAAATAGCCACAATGACTATGGATAGATTAGTAGGTAAAATTATTTGTGGTAATGGAATGAGCGTGGGATGATTTTCAAGCCACTGAAAGACATGGAAGAAATTTGGATACACGTGACTAAGAGAAAGAATCCAATCTGACAAAGCCAAATACTGTGTGATTCCATACATAGCTTCTTGGAAAAGTCAGGGAAGAGATCAGGGATTGTCAAAGTTTGGGAAGGAAAGAGAGATGACAGGATGAAGCACAGAGATGTATGAGAACAATGACGACATTCTGCAGGATAGGACTGAGATGGACTCGTCCTTGCAAAATTTCAAAATGCATAGAATTTAAAGCTTCTACAGCTAACCGTAAAACAGACTGTTGACATGAAATGACGATGATGAGCCATTGTAGGGTCACAGGGACATCAAATACGGTGAGAGAGGTTGAGAGCATGTAGAGATGGAGCAGATGGTAGAGAACTGTCGGTTTGATCAGCTTTGCTACAAACCAATCATTACTCTAAAAATGAAGTTGGTTTTCAAAAAGGAATGTATTCATTCACTCATATCCAATATGAGCACTTAAAATTATTTTCAAAAGCATTCTAACAATGGAAGCCTCACACTGGAGTGATAATCCTATGGTTGCTCAGTTCATGAGGCTGGACATCGCAGCAGTTCGACTCTTGTGCTGAAGGCATGAAGGATTCCTTGAGAGCTGCTGGTCAGTCTACATGGGAACCCAAAGAAGTTGGTTCTAATACTGATGAAGGAATGCTCCAGAAACAAGATAAACTTGCCAGCCAGAGTGAAGGCAAACAGGAAAAAAGCAAAGGCTCCCTTTTGCCACATCCTTTAATATGTAGTGCCACCACAAGGTTACCCATATTTAGGGTGGCTCCTCCCAGTTCAAGTAATCTGATGAAGGAGGAAGTCCCTCATGTTTTAGTGAATTCCAGACACAGTCAAGCTGACAACTGAGACTGGCCATCACACTCATGTTGTCTTTCCCTTGCTTGCCATTTCATTTGTTGGCCTTCCTTATTTCTCCCTCTCTCCCTCACTCTTCATCGCAAGGTTTACTTTGTGCTGTAACTCTTCCCCTCGCAGTCTCAGTTTGTACTCACTTTATTTTTCCTCCTACTTCTTTTCTGAATGTTACCGACTGTGTCACCAGCTACTATTTTCTCATCACCCCTCTCCCAAATCTTGCATTTGTTCCTGTGGTGTTCATTCTTAGAGGCAGTTTCTTTGCTGTGCTTTTATAAAAATTTGTCAGAATATTAAGAATATTAAGACAATTTTTCAGCTTCTCCCTGTCAACATTTTTATGGTATAAATTTTTCAGCAACTAGTTCATTTTACTACTCTCAAGTGTTTTCTTGTCTTTATATTGATGCTGTGTCCACTTTTTAGCTACTCAAAATTAAGTAAGTTAACATATTTTTTGTTAAAATGACAAACAAACCAGTATTCAGGATTGGCAAAGTTCTGCATCTCAGTTCCCACAGACTAAGGGGTCTTTCATTGGCCATACTCATTTGCCCTAGTTCCCTTAAGGATTGTGGCAAACCAAAAACACTGGTTTCTCAAGCCCAGATGAGCAGCTCACCTTCAGCAATGTGTTCTCTCTGTGTGTGTTTAGCTTCAGCTGAGCCCTCTTCACTTTTCAGCCTTTGTCTTTCACTTCCTCTTTTATAGTCACAGGCCAATTCCTGTTTGTGAGTCCATTGTCAAAGAAAAGAATTTCCCATTTCAAAAGAAATTCTCACCTGTCTAAAACACAAATTTATTGGCACGTTCTTAGAGAAGCTATCCTTGGGCCCACTTTCAGATCTTTCTCTTATGAATCCTACATTTGAGCTCAGCAGTTTTGCCAATTCATATACACGTTTTTGAAACAACAGATTGTCATTCTCCAAGTGTTGTTGAAAATAGAAATGGCAGAGCTTTTCCTTTAAATTTCTCATTGTGACTTTGGAATATTCTTAAATGAGGTAACAGGGACACTGTTGCATTCATTCTGCAGTTATGCATCATCTTCACACCAGCTTTATCTGAATGTATATTATAGTTCATTTATAGTTTTAAAAACTCTCTATACCAAGAGACATCATTCCATAATGCACTGCAAATCAAAACAGACCTTTAGTTTTAAGAGTTAAAACTGACCAAATTTTCATTGACTTGCAAATTTTTTTGTTTTTTTTTTTTAAGAGTGCAGCAAGTTTGACTTTCTTTATTAACAACACTTTCTTTTCTCTACACAGCTCATATTGAACTAGCTTTGGCAGAGCCTCATAATCTCTTTTGCCCATTATTATTATTATTATTATTATTTGCCTGTAAGTGAATTATTAAGTATTTCTTTGTGTGGCTTGAAATGTACCGTAATCATCATAATCACATCATCTTTTTAATGATAAATTACTTTTACTGGACTGTTGGACCAGGAGCATTACAAGATTGGCTTCACCTAGTAATTGACCACATTGAGTGCTCA